AAATCCAGGAGCTGGTTTTTCAAAAAGATCAACAAAATAGACCACTAGCCAGATTAATAAAAAATAAAAAAGAGAATAATCAAATAGATACAACAAAAAAACAATAAAGGGATATCACCACAGATTCCACAGTAATACAAATCATCATCAGAGATTATTACAAACAACTCTATGCAAATAAACTACTAAACCTGGAAGAAATGGATAAATTCCTGGACACCTGCATCCTCCCAAGCCTAAACCAGGAAAAAGTTGAAACCCTGAATGGACCAATAACAAGGGCTGAAGTTGAGGCAGCAATTAAGAGCCTACCACACAAAAAAAGCCCAGGTCCAGATGGGTTCACAGCAGAATTCTATCAGACATAAAAAGAGAAGCTGGTACCATTCCTTCCCAAACTATTTCAAGGAATCCAAAAAGAGGTAATCCTTCCCAAATCATTTTATGAGACCAACATCACCCTGATACCAAAACCTGGCAGAGACTCAATAAAAAAAGAAAACTTCAGGCCAATATCCATAATGAACGCAAAAGTTTTCAATAAAATATTGGCAAACCGATCACAACAGCACATCAAAAAGTTTATCCACCATGATCAAATAGGCTTCAAGTGTATAAACATAGTTCACCACATAAACAGAACCAAAGACAAAAACCACATGATTATCTCAATTGATGCAGAGAAGGCCTTTGACAAAATTCAACAGCCCTTTATGCTAAATACCCTCAATAAACTAGGTATTGACAGAACGTATCTCAAAATAATAAAAGCTATTTACCACAAACCAACAGCCAATATCATACAGAATGGGCAAAAACTGGAAGCATTCCCTTTGAAATCTGGCACTAGACAAGGATGTCCTCTCTCACCACTCCTATTCAATATAGTATTGGAAGTTCTAGCCAGAGCAATCAGGTAAGAAAAAGAAATAAAGAGTATTCAAACAGCAAAGGAGGAAGTCAAATTGTCTCTATTTGCAGACAACAGGATTGTATATTTAGAAGACCCCATAGTCCCAGCCCAAAATCTCCTGAAACTGATAAACAACTTCAGCAAAGTCCCAGGATACAAAATCAATGTGCAAAAATCACAAGCATTCCTATACACCAATAACAGACTTAAGGAGAGCCAAATCAAGAACGAACTGCCATTCACAATTGCTACAAAGAGAATAAAATACCTAGGAATACAACCAACGAAGAATGTAAAGGACCTCTTCAGGGAGAACTACAAACCGCTGCTCAACGAAATAAGAGAGGACCCAAACAGATGGAGAAACATTCCGTGCTTATGGTTAGGAAGAGTCAATATTGTGAAAATGGCCATACTGCCCAAAGTAATTTACAGATTCAATGCTATCTCCATCAAGCTACCAATGACCTTCTTCACAGAACTGGAAAAAACCACCTTAAACTTGTTATGGAACCAAAAGAGAGGCCACATAGCCAAGTCAATTCTAAGCAAAAAGAACAAAGCTGGAGGCATCACACTACCTGACTTCAAACTATTCAAACTATACTACAAGGCTACAGTAATCAAAACAGCATGGTACTGGTATCAAAACAGAGATATAGACCAATGGAACAGAATAGAGGCCTCGGAGGCAACACCACACATCTACAACCATGTGGTCTTTGACAAACATGACAAAAACAAGCAATGGGGAAAGGGTTCCCTGTTTAATAAATGGTGTTGGGAAAACTGGCTAGCCATGTGCAGAAAGCAGAAACTGGACCCCTTCCTGACACCTTACACTAAAATTAACTCCAGATGGATTAAAGACTTAAACATAAGACCTAACACCATAAAAACTCTAGAAGAAAATCTAGGCAAAACCATTCAGGACATACGCATAGGCAAAGGCTTCATGACCAAAACACTGAAAGCATTGGCAACAAAAGCCAAAATAGACAAATGGGACATAATCAAATTCCACAGCTTCTGCACAGCAAAAGAAACAGTCATTAGAGTGAATCAGCAGCCAACAGAATGGGAGAAAATTTTGCAATCCACCCATCTGACAAAGGGCTAATATCCAGAATCTACAAAGAACTAAAACAGATTTACAAGAAAAAAACAAACAAGCGCATTCAAAAGTGGGTGAAGGATATCAACAGACACTTTACAAAAGAAGACATATATAAGGCTAACAAACATGAAAAAATGCTCATCATCACTGGTCATTAGAGAAATGCAAATCAAAACTACATTGAGATACCATCTCACGCCAGTTAGAATGGTGATCATTAAAAAATCTGGAGACAACAGTTGCTGGAGAGGATGTGGAGAAATAGGAACACTTTTACACTGTTGGTGGGAGTGTAAATTAGTTCAACCATTGTGGAAGACAGTGTGGCGATTCCTCAAGGCCTTAGAAATAGTAATTCCATTTGACCCAGCAATCCCATTACTGGGTACATATCCAAAGGAGTATAAATCGTTCTACAATAAGGACACATGCACACGAAAGTTCATTGCAGCACTGTTTACAATAGCAAAGACTTGGAACCAACCCAAATGCCAATCGATGATAGACTGGACAGGGAAAATGTGGCACATATACACCATGGAATACTATGCAGGCATTAAAAACGATGAGTTTGTGTCCTTTTTAGGGACATGGATGAACATGGAAACCATCATTTTTAGCAAACTGACACAAGAAAAGAAAATCAAACACCACATGTTCTCACTTATAGGTGGGTGTTGAACAATGAGAACACAAGGACACAGGGAGGGGAGCATCACACACTAGGGTCTGCTGGGGGGAAATAGGGGAGGGACAGTGGGGGGTGGGGAGTTGGGGAGAGATAGCAGGGGGAGAAATGCCAGATATAGGTGATGGGGAGGAAGTCAGCAAATCACACTGCCATGTGTGTACCTTTGCAACAATCTTGCATATTCTTCACATGTACCCCAAAACCTAAGATGCAATTTAAAAAATTCAATCACTAGTAATTAATTGCATTTATTTTGCCCTTGCGCTTTAATTAAAACAATGTCCAAAGTCCTTTTAATAACAATGTGTATTACAACGATACTAAAATTTCTTACCAAATTCCAAAAAACTGGTTTTCTACATGACTCTTCTGGGTAAAAGTGAATTATCACCAGAGCAGTAAATAAAATACATTCACATTAATCCTCAGGTGACTTCTAGTATATGGGAGCACTGAAAGGGTTACATTCATAGAATTGATTTAAAGGCAACCTCTTTAAACAGCGATGATTTAAAAATAATTCTAAATTCCTCTAAATTATTTCTGACACAGGAAAGAGAAAAGGCCTTGATTTTCTGCTAGTTTGTGTCTTGTTAAAGAATTAATTTTTTTAATCCAGAAAATACCTATTGGCTGGTACCACAGAAATCTCGGAAGTTATAATAAAAGCAAAATTTTACTATAACTTCCAAGTTACAGTAAAAGGACCAGTTGAGATCGGTGAACAAAGCTGCAAAAAATCAGAAAGAACACCTTCCAAGTCCTCTACCACTTGAAGCTAACGATTCCTCTCATTTTTGTTCCTCTCTTCCTCCCCTCCAGACCTATGAAACATGGACTTGCCATCCACAGAGCCGGGTGGAGGTGCTGGGCAGAGGCGCTGGGCGGCTGGGGAATGACCATGAGACTGTGCCATTAGCACAGAATCTCTCTAGGCGGGGGTCTGAGTAAACCAACATTTTCTTCCACTCTACACCCACAATGGGCCACCCCAGGGGACGAGCTGTTGGGATCAGGATGCCGTGGCAAGAGCCGTGGACTTCAGCTGCTGAAACCTGCTGCTGTTTCCACTGTAAGCTACCACTTACCGAACATTTTCTTCATCCTAGGGCTCCGTACTAAGTGGTTTTCATGGGGTGTTTTTGTTGTTGTTGTTGCTGTTGTTGTTTCTTTGAAGGAGTTTCACTCTTGTTGCCCAGGCTGGAGTGCAGTGGTCCGATCTCGGCTCACTGCAACATCCGCCTCCCAGGTTCAAGCGATTATCCTGCCTCAGCCTCCCGAGTAGCTGGGATTCACAGGATATGCACTGCCACGACCGGCTAATTTTGCATTTTTAGTAGAGAGGGGTTGCTCCATGCTAGCCAGGCTGGTCTCCCAACCTCAAGTGATCTGCCCACCTCCCAAAGTGCTGGGATTACAGGCGTGAGCCATCGCGCCTGTATTTTATTTATTTGTTTATTTTAAAACAACAACATCTCGCTGTGTCCCAGGCAGGGGTGCAGTGGCGCGATCTCGGCTTCAGCTTGGAACTTGGGCTCAAGCAGTTTTCCCGCCTCATCCTCGGAGTGCTGGAGACCATAGGCGCGGGTAACCTCGTGCGGCCGTTTTCCTGCTTTCAAAGCAGATGGAGGAGGTTCCCCCCCACCCCCAGTTCTGGGAAACAGACCTCTCCAGTTACTTATTGTTTCCTATTCACGTAGGAAGAGTGCATATAATAGTAAGACACAACTGTTTCGTATTATAAGTAAATACTTCATGCCAAGGGTTATAAAGAGCGTCACATGCTAAAACTAGGCTGCACTTCGAAGAATCACTGCTCAAGTTCTGGAAAAAAGAGGTAACTGTGAACACTGTGAAGGTAATCGATGCCAATGAAATAGACACTTAAACTGGTCAAAGTGGCCTATTTTATCTGGCATATATTACCACCATTTTTAGAAACGTTTTTTGGCAGGTGAAGAAAAGCAAGGCTCCAGGAGGCCCTGCCTCACTAGTCTACGCCCACTAACCTAAGCGCTCCCCCACCCCGGGCTGCGTCTCCCTTCTCAATTTCAGTCGCCCCATTGATAGAAATGAGGTGCCTGTCTGAGATGACCTTTAGACGCCTTTCCAGCTCCAGTTTTACTGGCCGGGAAAGAAAAAAATCCAAGATCCTCGTTTCAAAGCAGCGGTGGGCGCTCCACCGCGCGTCTCCTCTCGGCGCCAGGGTCCGGGAGTTACCTCCCGCAGGGGCGCACGGGCCGCAGCACGCGTGCGCAGTGGGCACCGAGAGCGCCGCGTCCCCCACTCCGCTCCCGGCCCTCCCCCCGCCACGCCCGCCTCCAGGCACTGAGGGACACGCTGAGGGCAAGTGCGCTGAGGGTGAGTGAGCGGCGGGATCGGCTGACCTTTGGCCCCTCGGCCGGCGCCCTAGATTAAGGTGCCAGACAGAACCTATCAGTGTGAATGCACCATTCCAGGCAGTGAAAACAGGCTCAGCACAGAATCAGCAGCAGCAGGAAACCTCGAGACTTCTTCCTAGCTCTGTCTTCCTCCCACCTCTGCTCCTAATTCCCTTATTCTCTGGGCCTCAGATTGTTTTTCTTTTTCACGAGCTCCCCTCGCCGCCCCGCGCCGCCCCGCCTCCCAGGCTCGGGCTCTGGTTCCAACACCTCAGCGCCAAGCAGTGGAGGCGGGGAGGACTCCCGCAGCTTGCCGCCCGGGGCCTCCGACTCGTCCTGAATCGGCCCGCCCTGAGGGGCGTGAGGAGGGGAGGGGCTGCGGACTTAGGACTCTAGCCGGGAGACCGCCTCCTGCCCAGAGCTGGAGCCCGCAACCCGCTCAGGCGGCGACGGAGCCATGTCGGCGCTGCTGGGGCTCTGGCCCGAGCTTCGGGACACCTGCACCTCGCTGGGACTGATGCTATCGGTCGTGCTGCTCGTGGGGCTGGCCCGCGTGGTCGCCCAGCAGCAGCTGCACAGGCCAGTGGCCCACGCCTTCGTGCTGGAGTTTCTAGCTACCTTCCAGCTCTGCTGCTGCACCCACGAGCTGCAACTACTGAGCGAGCAGCACCCTGCGCACCCAACCTGGACGCTGACGCTCGTCTACTTCTTCTCGCTGGTGCATGGCTTGACTCTGGTGGGCACGTTCAGCAACCCGTGCGGCGTGATGATGCAGATGATGCTGGGGGGCTTGTCCCCCGAGACGGGTGCGGTGAGGCTGTTGGCTCAGCTGGTTAGTGCCCTGTGTAGCAGGTACTGCACAGGCGCCCTCTGGAGCTTGGGTCTGACCCATTATCACGTCAGCGAGAGGAGCTTCGCTTGCAAGAATCCCATCCAAGTCGACTTGTCCAAAGCGGTCATCACAGAGGCCGTCTGCTCCTTTCTCTTCCACAGCGCTCTGCTGCACTTCCAGGAGGTCCGCGCCAAGCTTCGTATCCACCTGCTGGCTGCGCTCATCACCTTTTTGGTCTATGCAGGTTTGTCATTCCCACCAAACATATGGCACTTCTAGAGCCTCTATGACATGAAGCTCTAAGTGATTTACTAAAATACATTTGAAACCCCCCACCCCGCTGTGATGTAAATGCTGGTATCCCCGTTATTTTAACCACTTTGCAGCCCATTCTTAACTAGTAGGGCCGAAACATACAGCCTTCATGCAGTGCTTTTTTTGAACACCCTGAGAAGGGAGCCACCTGTGTGCTGAAACTGAGACGGTATGAAATATTGCCAAGGGTTCAGATATCCTACAAAGGGATTGTTTTAATGGTAGAAAGGAAAGATAACATTTAACTGCCTCTTTCTTCATGCCAAGGTGGTATATATCTTTTCTGATACTCTTACTGAAAAATGATCCTGGCTTTACAAAGTTCCTTTCGATTTAAAGCACAAAGCACGTGACTGGTTAGCATAAGAGCAGAGAGTGGAAATTTTGTAGTTCCATTTTAGTCCTATAAATTACTTAAAGTCATATCTTATTTCCTTAATCATTTTGAGTTATGAAATTTCTTATTTCCTTAATAATTAATATAAGTTATACATGAACTTTTAAATGACCTATCAAGAAAAATGTGTTTAAATGAAAACTTGCTTCAAATTAAAGATGCTTTTAAAAATATAACTCTTGAGAAATCTGTTGATTCCTTTTAAACCATTAGTTTACTTTGACATCTCAGATGCAGTGGGAAATCTAGTCCTAAATGGGAGGAAGAAATCCAGTACACAGGAATTTAATGATGAAATGTGTCATTTTAAATTATTACAACAGAATATCTTTATTGGGACTACGTTCTAAATTATAAAACACTCTGGAGGCAGAAATAACAACAAAGGAAATTTATGGCAATAGTTATCTTTTGCCCATTAAAAGCAAAACCATGACTAGAAGTAAACTTCAAGATAAGGACTCCTAAATGTGTACTTGACCTTCTAGGGTAAAAATGAAAGCCTTTGCAATCAATTTACCCTTCTTTAGGTCTAGTACCACTTTTTAAGTAGACATAAATGGAAAGAAGTGGTATAGGAGAATGAAGGGAACTGGGTGCACTGGCTCACACCTGTCATCCCAGAACTTTGGGAGGCTAAGGTGGGCGGATCACTTGAGACCAGAAGTTCAAGACTAGCCTGGGCAACATAGAGAAATCCCATCTGTACAAAAAATGCAAAAAGTATCTGAGTGTGGTGGTGCACACCTGTAGTCCCAGATACTTGGGAGGCTAAGGTGGGAGATCACCTGAGTCCAGGAGGTTGAGGCTGTAGTGAGCTGTGATAGTGCTACTGCACTCCAGCCTAGGTGATAGAGACCCTGTCTGTCTTAAAAGAAAAAAAAAAAAAAGGCCAGGCATGGTGGCTCGTGTCTATAATCCCAACACTTTGGGAGGCCGAGGCAGGTGGATTGCCTGAGGTCAGGAGTTCAAGACCAGCCTGGCCAACATGGGGAATCGCCATCTCCACTAAAAATACAAAAATTAGCCAGGCATGGTGGCGCACATCTGTAATCCCACCTACTTGGGAGGCTAAGGCAGGAAAATAGCTTGAACCCGGGAGGCGGAGGTTGCAGTGAGCCAAGATTGCACCACTGCATTCCAGCCTGGGCAACACTAAGACTCTGTCTCAAAAAAGAAACAAAGAGAGTGACAGGTACAGGCATATTTGAGGGATTGGTGAATAGTTGCTTATTTATTGAAGTTTTATATTTTAGCTAAAGCAGAAACATCCCCTGTACATTAACAGAATTTTCCCTACGAAAAAGAGTTATGCCATGGTTTAGCTCTGTATTTCCACAATTAAAAACAGTAAAAACTTAAAAGAATTTTTATATCAATAGAACATTAACTACAGTTGGATCTTTCAATACCTATGTTCCTCTTCCCTCTGATTAGCCTGAAGTTGATATTCTGTGCACTTTTAATACATATTTATAATTCCATAGATACCATTCCCTATTTTATCAGTGACAAAAAATTTAAGAAGAGACACAAATAATATTTGAAGTTATAGATCCAGTCATAGATGTAAGGAAAGTTATTAGAAGGAATCTATAAAATATCACCTTAAGAGATCAAAAATACTGCTCTTCTGTTCTTGAAATGAGGGCACTAATTGATGGGGTAGAGGGAGGGTATAAAGGGATAGCTAGAGCAGTGGTTCTCTGTATTAAAATCACCTGGGGAGCTCTTTAAAGCACCTGTGGGCTTATTCTGGGCCCACAGATTAAAATCTAATTTCTCTGGCAAGGGGCCTAGGTGGCGGTATATTTTAAAGCTTCCTAGATGATCCCATTATGAAACCAAGGTAAAGAACCACTGCTTTAGACCTGCACTGTCCAATTCGATAGCCACTAGCTCCATGTGGCTATTTACACTTAAATTAACTGAAATTAGATTCAACTCCTCATTCACAGTAGCCACATTGTAAGTGGTCAGTTGTCAAATTGTGCTGTAGCTAGTGGCTACGGTACTGGACAGTGCTAGACTCTATTTGCATGGGTAGAACAAAATAGACAATTGTTGATTACTACTAGTTACAGAAATTTATAATGCAGTATGATCTTCCCTTTTTTTGTTTTCTGCCAATATAAGAGAGATAAGAATATTCACTTGTCAGCTGTTACAGCCCAAGCATTTTGCTAGGAAATTTATGAGAGTTATTTTAATTAATCCTTACAACAACCCATTGATGAATACATTCTTTCCATTTTAAGTAAAGTGAGGCCCAGAAAAGTGAAATGACTTATCTAAGCTTTCGTAACTAGACTGTGCTAGAACCACGGTTCCAGCTGGCACTAAAACTCATACAGATTTCATTATCAGGATTTCTACAGTGTGCTCCTCAAAGTTACAAAATCACATACAATTGAAGATATTCAGCCATAAAAAGGAATGAAATTATGATATATACTACAACATGAAGGAACCTCAAAAACATTATGCTAAGCAAAATAAGCCAGACACAAAAAGACAAATACTGTATGATTCTCCATATATGAAATATCTAGAATAGGCAAATTCATAGAGACAGAGAGTAGAATAGAGTTACCAGGGACTGTGGGGAGGAGGAAGGAATGGGGACTTATTGTTTAATGGATACAAAGTTTCTCTTATGAAAACCTTTGGAAATAGTGCTGCTGGTGAAACAGCATTGTGAATGTAACACCAATGATTTATACATCTAAAAATGGCTAAAATGACATATTTTATGTTACATATATTTCACCACAATTTATTCAATTTTTAAGTTACAAAATGATGTTGCTGCCTAATAAATTTGGCAAACGCTGGATTAAACAGGTTTTCTAATTTTAAGATTTTACAGAGCTTCTATGTATTGTGAAACTCCAAGAGGAGGATTTGGAGCAGTTTTTCAAACTTACGAGATCCTCTCGTCTAGGAGTGTATAGCAGAAGCGAACATATTTTGTGAAATGCTGCACTAAGCCACATATTTCCCTATTATTTTCTATGGCTATAAATCATAACTTTGGAACAGAGCTGTTACCAATAGGGCTGTCTTGGGACAGTTGGCTAAGGTCAGGCATCATTACAAGTTATTTTGATATACCTTTTTTAAACTTCTAAGATACTACAAGTACAGATTTGACAAAGGTATATACTGGGAGATTTCTTTAATCACTTGTATTTTGAAGGCACTCAGAAGTCACCAATACAGGGTACATCAAAATAACTGATTTTGTAGTGTAGGATTACAGAACGTTAAGTGTCCAGCAACATAGCCACAGTCTCCTAGGGTAGCCAGTGACCAAGTGTCTGTGTATTTATTGATTTAGCACCCCAAATTTTGATTTGCAGATGGAGCCCATTGATGTCATTACCATTTATCATGTATTTACTGGCTTCCCTAATAGTGTTAAAAAAAAAAAAAAAAAAAAAAAAGCTGGCCCGGCCCGGTGGCTCGTGCCTATAATCCCACCACTTTGGGAGGCCGGGTGGATCACAAGGTCAAGAGATCAAGACCATCCTGGTCAACAAGGTGAAACCCTGTCTCTACTAAAAATACAAAAATTAGCTGGGCATGGTGGTGCATGCCTGTAATCCCAGCTACTCGGGAGGGTGAGGCAGGAGAATTGCTTGAACCCAGAAGGTGAAGGTTGCGGTGAGCCAAGATTGCGCCATTGCACTCCAGTCTGGGTAACAACAGCGAAACTCTGTCTCAAAAAAAAAAAGCTGTGTGATTTGTTAACATATTAGACCTAAAACTGTTAATCAGAATTCAAGTAAATCTTCCTTACTTTGGGTTCTGGGAAAATTTAGTTCAATGAACAGTTTGAGAGAGAGATGCATTCATGTTTTATGCATAATTAGATATTGAAAAACATCTTGTTTTCCACATATAAGTTGTCTTTATTACCGCATACTGTTCATTTATTTCATAGAATTTTAAATTATGTTGTTTTCTGTCACAATGCCTGTTTTCCTCTACCAGATGATAAGCTTTGAGTCTATAGACCACATTTGTTTTATTTATCATAACATATATCCAGATGTTAGCATAGGACCTGGTACAAAGTAAAAGTATTTTTAGAATAAATGAATGAACTAGGAAATATTCTGTTTAAAAAGTTGCACAGAAAGAAGTAATACAAGGGCCAGACACAGTGGCTCACGCCTGTAATACCAGCACTTTGGGAGGCAAAGGTGGGTGGGTCACTTGAGGTCAAGAGTTGGAGACCAACCTGGCCAACATGGTGAAACCCTGTCTCCACTGAAAATACAAAAATTAGCCGGCCCTGGTGGTGGACACCTATAGTCTCACCTACTCAAGAGGGTGAGGCAGGCAAATTGCTTGAACACAAGAGGCAGAGGTTGCAGTGAGCCGAGATTGTGCCACAGCCCTCTAGTCTGAGCGACAGAGTGAGACTCCATCTCAAAAAAAAAAAAAAAAAAAGAGAAGAAATAATGCATACCTGGGTATTCCGTATTTTATGTCTAAGGGCTATTTTGGAAGACTTATTTTAGTAT